TTCATTAAATAACTTATAAAGTAATTTGAAAACCTTGTGTGAGACATAATTTCACAAACAGCGTGAGTGAATCACCTCGCGCGCGCTCTCTCTCTCTCTCTCTCTCTCTCAAAATATGCAAATGGCTTCAAATCACCACACATCGCGTCTGTCTATAAGCGAGCTGCATGCTGCACAGTTGACAGGAATTGTCACTTGCACAGTCGAGGCAGTGTCACATCATCACTAAAGTTGATAAATTGCATTACTTTTTAATTCTTGCCAGTGTTTAATCATTCAGCACCCGCGCGCTCTCCTGCAGACTGAGCGCTCATGCACATCACTCGCAGCACACACACATAATGCCAAGTTCACATTATTCCGTTTGCAGTGCATACGTGGTGCGTATTTTTTCCACGCTCATGTTAACGGATTAAAGCGTTCACTGCACACGGTTGCTGTCCGGTAGTGAGTCCAGTAGCGGTGCGTCTGAGGCAGTGCAGAGATAGTTTCCGCACCAAGTCTACTGCTGGGCTGCAAGTAGAGGTCTGCATTACCCGCGGCTCTCCCGCGGGAACCGACCGGATTTTTTGCGCTGCGGGATTAAATTCCCGAATAAAACGCGGTAGCGGTCGGTAAATCTGGTGTAATTTGAACGTGAGCGGGCGGTCTAACAAAATCCCGTTCCCGACGTCCATTCAGAACAAGCCAAGTAGGTATAACATCTCGGTTACGTATATAACCTTGGTTCCCTGAATAGGGAACGAGATGCTGCGATGACGTCATTGCTATGGGAACACCTCTGGTGTGACGAATGTCTGAAGCCCTTATACCATCACGCCAATTTATTGGCCAATATCGCTTAGCACCGCCCCGAGCATACGTCACGTATGCTCATATATGCGTGCTGCGCGCTATTTCATCAGATTTTACACTATGACGAAGGAAGTGCTATCGAAGGTACGGAACGGCCAGCATTGCAGCATCTCGTTCCCTATTCAGGGAACCAAGGTTACATACGTAACCGAGATGTTCCCTCTCATAGTGCTCAGGTGGATGCTGGGGTCTTATCTATCAGATTGCAACGTATATCCATTTTGTTAATTAACATTACATGTAGTGCGCGTCTAATTAAGAGTTAAGCCAGTCGGCATGGTAGCCCAGACACACATAGTCCTAGGCAGGGCTCTACAGTGCTACCATTTCAGTCGCATTTGCGACTGAAAACTACTGCGTGCGACTATAAACATTTTTTTAGGAGCACCAGTGCGACTGACCCGATTATCATCATACTTGTGATTGCGCTCAGGGGAGCTTCAAAGGGTTCTACGTGTTTTTGCAGCGTCGAGTAATGTATCACAGATATAGATGTAGATGTAGACAGGGTGTAAATAAGAGATTCATTGCGCAGTGTAGAGAGCTTCGTTGATTATAGATGTGAGATCGAGATGAACTAAAATGAGTGCCAGCTTTTAATGATTTTTAAAGGAGTTTGTAAATGTGATACTGATTTAATACAATACAATTCAATAAACAAGAAGTTAATATTAAATGACTTACATTGTCAGACTATAACACTATTGTCTGATTTTGCTCTATTTCGTCGTTGAAAATAGTTTAAAACAAAGTCACAGCTCAGCCGCTGCGCATCTCCATTCAAACACAGCGGTGTTTCGTTTATGAATTAACGTTTTTTTTAAATGAATCTAGTGAGTCAGTGATTCATGATTACCCATTCATAAAGACAGTCACTTGATTCATTCCTGAATGAATCATGTTTTGCCACTTGCTTGAGCAACTTAATCTATAAATCTAGAAGTAAATGCAAAAGTAAAAAGCATTGAATAATGTGTTGCTTATATTTATTGTTTATACATGTCTGTGAAAGATTGTATTACTGTACTGTGTAAAAAAAAGAATTGCAATGCTGAAGAAGCATTTTCAGTGACAATGTTTGGATTTGAAATCAAAATAATGGATAAATGTTGTGTTTGTGGTAAACAGCCTCGGATCAGTAGCGGACTCCTCTGTGAAAACAGTCCCTGCTGCTTCCCCTCTCACAAGAGTATATATACAGTATATAAGAGGGGAATTCCCCCCATTTTCAAAAATGAAATTCAGGCCCTGAATAAATGTCTAAAAATCCTGATTGGAGTATTGATTTTATTATTCTACCAAATAGTATAATAAAAGATCGATACTTGGCGTTCGTGTATCGATACGGTATTGCCGCGGAAAATATTGCGATACTATGCTGTATCGATTTTTTCCCCCACCCCTACTATTGCTCATACTTATGGTTAACTTGTATCTTAATGCTTTTCTTTTGCGGAACACAGAAGGAGAAAT